ATGAGCTGAGTTGGAAGTCTCCGCAAACGCGGACTATTGTCACAAAAGCGGCTGTGCTGGTGTGCTTCGTTGATCGCAGAAGCAACACCGCAGATATGGTGTCTTGGATGCATGTGCGGTCATCTGAGATTTTTGTTGTTTGCGTATCTGCGATGAATATTCCGCATATACGGCTTCGCATGTGCGACTGTGAGCCTGCGAAAGCGGAAATCTTTGGCAGAATGGTTATAATTCGAGGATTTGTCCATTTTTATCATATCTTGAGTTGTAGACCTCAGTTTTGGGCGATTTTGGAGGGGTTATTCATGATTTGGATTGGGGTAAGTATTCTTTATCTGGATTTGATTATATTTCACGATTCCATAATTATTTTCACATTAAATTAGTGAATTGGATAGGAGTAAATTAGAATTTTTGTATAAACTTTAAAAAATGTAAAATGAGGATTTGAAGGCCGATTTGATATCAGAATTGGATAATTGTGGAATGGTTGGACTTGTATCGGAATGGGTGTTCGGATTTTGTAAATTTTGTCGGGTTCCGAGGTATGGGCCCGATGTTGACTTTTTTCATTTAAGATCGAAACTTTATTATCCGGAATTATTTCCTATGGTTTTTATTTGTGATATTAAATTATTTTGGCTAGATTTGAGCCGTCCGGAGGTTGTTTCTCATGAGAAGATTATTTTAGAGTATCAATTTAGCTTCTTTGAGAAACATATCTTGTCTAACTTTGTGTGGGGGAATTATCCCTTAGGATTTGAGTCGTTTGTGCTATTTGTGCCATGTGAGATCCATGTACGCGAAGTGACGAGTACGTACTCAGGCTTATATGTGGAAATTGAACAATTTAGATTCTTAGGCTTCTTTTATGTATTTATTTGGAATTTTTAGCACTTGTTATATCTTTTATTCGTCATGTTTACTATCACATGCTTTATTTGAAGTTGTCGTTATATGTCACATCCTTTAAATATCGAGTTTGCTCTTATATGCTTTATTTGAAGTTGCTACCGCTTTTACCATTATGTGATTTCTTTTATTATTGAGTTACTTTTAGTTAAAATTGTTGTACATGATATACTTTTTGTTGCGAGGTTATTCTCGTACATTTTGACATAGTTGCTAGTTCGCACCATCTCTTTGATTGTTAGCCTAACTCATACACTAGAATCCGACGTTTGTCGTTTCGTGGAAATACTTTCATTATCGAGATTATCCTTAAAAAATTAATTGGTTTGAGGGTATCGAAAGTCATTAATCTATTTAAATTGAAGCTGTGTTTAAAGGGGGTGTTGTTCCTTGTGAGTTACTTTCCCGTTCGTTTTGTTGTTATTGAGATTTTATACACATTGTGTTTGATCAGTGTGCTATTTGTTGTGGAAATATTGATATTATTGGACCTTTTGAAAGGTTGTGGCGTATGGGCACTTGTGTTATGAGTTGATATGTCGTGTTGTTGTGATCTTAGCATTTGTGAATTTGTTGTGTGGTTTGGTTGTTGCTATGCGGGGAATAAGGGTGTTATCTCAGTGTTGTTGAATATACAGATTGATAAGGGTGGCTATTGTGTTATTTTTTGGGCGGAAAGATAAGGGTGGATATTATATGTAGGGATACGGGTGACTGTCGAAGATATAAAGATGTCAAATATTATTGTCCAGGCGGAGTGATAAGTGTGGATATTATACGAAGTGATACGAGTGGCTATCAGAGAGATAAGGGCGGCTAACGATATTGCCAGGACGGAGTGATACAGGTAGCTATTGGAGAGATAAGGATACAATGTCAAGGATGATATGTGGCTTGGGGACATTGTGTTGGTGATTTTCGTGTGATGGAGTGTTTTTCATTGTGTATGTCATACATCTTACGTGACTTGTTTTCTTGCTTCGATGAACTACTCGATGTCTTTGATATTACTTGTTGACTTGGGCAGCAGTAGTACACTCGCACAAGCATACACCATAGCATGCCACTTATACTAGCACAAGAGTATGAAACTTGACATTTATTGATCATGCCCATGTGTTCTTGTATTATCTGTTTTCATGTTGATTGTGAGCTTGTGAGCACGTCGGGTGGATTGTGAATGTGATCATATGATCATGCCGGGCAGATTGAGATATTGGCACGCGAGTAGTCCGTGCGGTTGTGATTTGAGATGTGGGCACAAGGTGTCGTGAGCATATGATGGTGGATTGAGGCCCGTGACTTATGACAATGAGATGAGGTATCACGGAGTGATTCCATTGTGAAACTTATGTTAGAACGACTTAATTAATTGGTTTTCCTTTGTGTTCCTTATTTGGTTTGAACGATACTTCACGGTGTTCTTATTGATATACTGTTTATATCACTTGTTGATTATTGTTGCCATTTACTGATTTCTGCTTTCCATTATTAGCTTTATACTTCTATATTGCACAGGTTATTTTGTTCAATAAGTGTCTTGACTTGTAACTCGTCACTACTCCACTGAGGTTAGTCTTGATACTTACTGGGTATCGACCGTGGTGTACTCATGCTACACTTCTGCATATATTTGTGCAGAGCCAGGTATTGGAGATATCGGACTCGGGCAGAATTAGCTTATTGACCGCGATGATTCAAGGTAGAGTTGCTTAGTCGTCGTTGTCCCTTGGAGTTCTTTCCTTTCATTGTACTGTCAGCTTGTTATTTGAATAATATTGTATTTCGATCTTTGAGATCTTTCCATGTATTTAGCTAGAGTTCGTGACTCTGTATTACCTAGTATTAGGAGGTTGTTATGATTATTGCCGCGTAGACTCATCTCGCTCTTGTTTCGGTATTCATATTAAACTCTGTTTCAAGTTATCATTGTTAAGAACTAGCTTAATTGTTATAGTAATCGGTTTACCTAGTCTTAAAGACTAGGTGCATCACGACATCCTACGAAGGGAGTTTGAGGCCGTGAAAATATTAGCACTCTGTTTTAAATTATCATTGTTAAACTGACTTAATTATTGTAAGTAATCAGCTTATCTAATCTTAAAAATTAGGTGTCATCACAACGCCTAAGGCGGATTTTTGGGTCTGTGACAGTTACAGTAATATGTTTATATGAAGAATACATGTTATAAAGAGGTATAATATAATGAATGCTAAAATTCTTTTCATCTTTCCGGTATAAGACGTGGAGTAGTATTTAAGACGAAAATGATTTGAATAACACTCCGAATAAAGACAAATGTGTATAATTAAGGGAAAAGTGTGTATGAAGTTAGATTTTCTTTTCTTTTCTTTTTCTCCTTCAGCTTGCTAAAAGTCTTAAAGAATATTACTAGGTTGCTTGCTGTAAATCCTACACTAAAATATGTGATTGAAGTTTTCTCCGTGGACTACCTTGGTAAAATAATTATTGAAATATAGTCTTGTCGTTCTGTTTTGGGTATAAACTAGGGAGGGGTTATCTCACCTTATTAAAGGTTGCTTGTTAGGTGAGTGTGACATGGATAATGCAACAGTAAAATTATAAAGATTACAAAAAGAATAACTATGTACCTTATTCGACTATGAAGAAAGAATAAGAGGAAGAGGCAAACAAGAGTTTTTGCCTATAGTTAGTCCAAGATGGTGATCCTTCCTCTTATCTAGAATCCAACTATAATGCTGGAACTTATACGCCCTTATTTCCAACTATCAAAAAGAGCCCTAATGCATTCATCACTAAACAGTATAAAAAACCATATTTAAACTTTTTCTTCCACAGTACATTTCTATACTCTATTTTTGAGGGGATGGAGGGATAAGAAAGGAGGGTTAAATAAGACTAAATAAGAGGAAACGCAAGCTCGCTTATGGTACATGGCAGCTACTACACAGATCAGTTACTCAAACAACTTTATTAGCCTGCCTACCTTTCTTCTAGTTTTATCAGAGAATAGTGCAATTTCTTTCTTTTATAATCAAGTGAATCATGCTATTAAACTGGAAATGAGTCCCAAAATCTACTCTACCCAGAGAGTCGAGAGCATAAATGACTACTAGAACAACGAAAAGGCCATTCACAAGTTCCTCCCAATGAAGTCTCTCTTCCATGAATATAAGGTCTCTCATTCACTGAGGCATGTGATGTACCTCCGGGAATATTAACATCTCATAAGGTTTTCCGGCTGCTACAACTGCATTAATAAGCCCAGTAGTGTGCCTAAAATGCACATCTTCATCAATCATGTCATGCACAACAGCTTACCTTTGATCTTGTGTACATAATGCATTACAGAGTTCTCTCAATAGCCAGATGGATATTTTAGGTATTCCATCATACCCGTCACATGATGCAACGGGCATGAGAAACAACACATTTGAATACCTCAGGAAACCTCAATGTTATAGCTGAGAGATATCCACCATATCTCCATCCATATACCCCAATGTGGCCGGCAAACCCTTGTTTGTAAGTACTTTTCAGCATCCAATCAAGAAGGAATCACTTTGGACAATTAGATTAAGCTTCCCCTTGTCTCTCTTCTTTAACTAATAATGAAGCAAATCCCTAAAGTCAAAGTAGTCTATGAAAGCATGTGTAGTCTTTTTCTTTTTGGTGCAAAAGGATACTTTATACTATATACTTACCATTGATAAAAAAATGGAGCATTATCTGAAGCGCCTAAGAGCGTATTAATATTACAAGCCATAGACTTTCTAATATATATATGGATCGGAATTCCTCGGTTGATAGCGCCAAAATCTTCAAAACATACAAGAATGGGTTAACAAAAGGTTTACGATAGTACTAGTAGAAGTACTATTAGCAAATACATCCAAGTACCATTTTTGCTAACAAGTCAGGAACACCATTTTGGCTAGCTAGGAGAAAGGTTAGTCAATTAATTACAATCATTCACAAAAATATAATCCCCCACCCCACCACTTAGACTCGTGCTTTAGCCCAATGTGCGCATAAAAATAAAAATAAGTAGGGTCAACAGAACTCCCGCTAGGCAGCTGCTTCTGGCATAGGTGTGTCTCGTGCCTCAATTGGACGGATCTCTGATGTTTATGGTGCCTATCTCAGCTGGGGCATCAGTGGTGGATGCGAGGGTCATGCCAGGCTCAAGGAATGCGGTCGGACCCACTGGATGCCGGGCTTTTTCTGTAATATCAACACCGCAACCCTTGGCAATGGCTTCTAGCATTTGCATGATCTGCTGGATCTTATCATCCATCATCATTTTAAAATCAGCTACCTCCACCCTAAATTTAGCCAACTCCATCTTAATGTTAGCTAATTGCTCCACAATGGCGGCTACCTCAGCTGGTGCATCAGTGGTGGTTGCCAGAGCAGAGGCGGCTTAACCCCCAGGCCACTAAAGCGGCCGCTTTAGGCCTCACAATATTAGAGGCCCCAAAAACTAATATTTTTATATGTAATTTAAATATTAATTGCATTTAATATTAAATAGTGATAAGAATTTTTTTCAAGCATCTTTTAGCTACCTTGTCACCAATCGTTAATAACATAGTTTTATATTTTATGTTTTTTTTTTCCGGAGTTGGTTGAGAAAATTCGAATGGAAGTGAAAGGAAATTAAATCTGCAGTTACTTTCTAGTTTTTTTTCTTACTCCAACTTGAATAATTTTATTTACAACTCTAACTTTGCAAGATATTTTCTTTCAAGATCTCTGTAGGAACGCTTCAAACTAATTAGATCGTAAAATACTTGTCATCTTTGTAAATACAAATTTCTACATGATTGTTATTTTAGGAAGCAATGCTATATAGTAAGTTATGTTGACGGTTATGTGAAAAGCAAAAATTTAAAATTAAACATAATAAAATCTTATCAAAGGTTAGTAATGTTTCAACAAATATTAAAGGGGGTTTGTTACATCGTCAAGATGAAATTGCATCTCAAAAAGGAAAAAAAATAAACTTCAACAAAAATATTTAAAGGTATTAAATAAGTTTAAGGCCTCTTATCACGTCTTGGCTTTAGGCCTCCAGTACTATTGAGCCGCCTCTGTGCCAGAGTCGGGCCAGGCTCAAGGGACTCAAACAGACACTCTGGATGCTGGTCTATTTCAGTATTATCAATGCCGATGGCCTTGGCAATGCCTTCTAGCAATCAAAAATTGACTGACTCCATCCTGTGATTAGTCAACTCCTTCCTACAAGTAGCTAATAACTCCTCTATGGTCGGCTCTGCGAGTTAGAAAATGCATGCTCGAGTGGTCAGTTAAGTAAAGTAGCATCCGTTTCAACATCTAACAAGCTTTTGAAAACAGCGGTATGAGCATTGAAACTGTTAAAACTACCAAAACAAACACGAAATGTAGTTACTTTATCCATAAAGGGTTGAACTAACAAGGAATTACTCCCTCTGTTTCAATTTATATGAACCTGTTTGACTGGGATCACAGTACTTGTGTGCTTATGAAAGCTTCTCACTAAGGGTAGAATTGGGAATTCAAGCTAAATTGTTTCCAACTTTAGAAAGAGTTAATTCTTTTTGGAACGGACCAAAAAAGAAATAGGTTCACATAAACTGGAACAGACGGAGTACTACTTATGTAGCCAGCAAAATAACCCATCCAATAAAAAACTCTTGAGTGCTGAAATATATTTCACGAAATGTCAGGTTCACCCACAAACAATATTTAAACCATCATTTTTAGACAATGTATGTAAGATAAAAATTGAATAACAAGAAACAGAATGAAACCCTAAATAGGACGAGTGAAGGCAAAGAATACCATGAGCACCATCTTCCTTCCCATCGTCATCGTCAGAATCCTCAGTATCATCGTCGTCGTCAGAATTATCGTCGTCATTGTGATCGTCGTCAGAATCATCGGCATCATCATCGTGGTCGTCGTCAGAGTCGTCGTCGGTGTCGTCAGAATCTTCGGCGTCATGATCCACTATTGGCTCATCCTCCTGAAGCCTGCTTTAGTTGGTGAATTTGTTGAATGGAAGGGTTTTTTACATCTCAGTGTTTTGAGACAAAAGAAATTTACTTTACCAAATGTTGGGGTTTTACACTAGGTTTCCTTGAGTCCGGAACCCAATTGTTGTTTTTTTGGACTCAAAGTACATTAATAAGTGTAAAAAAAAAAAGTTACTTTTTTATATATAATATCCAAATACAAGACGCTATACCTTAACGGTAACTTTTGCCGTTAAGGTATAGCGTTTTGTATTTGAACGCTATATAGCCTGACGATTTGAGAGACATATATAGCGTTCTAAATTTATACGCTATACATTTAGCGTAAAAAAAAAACAATGCTATACCTAACTAACAATTTAACAATCATACGCAAGTGTCCACATTCACAATTGGCATTTCAAGAGCACATGCATGAATTGACACTACGAAATTTAGAACTGCTCCACTCCAAAAGTTTTGCCACGAAAGCTTTAGCATTAAAAACCATCATTATCTTAGTGAGAAATTTATATATTAATAGAAGAAATGAAGTAGAAATTTAAATATTAGCGTTTGGACATGATTTTGTTAAAATTTGAAAAGCTTTTCAATATTTACAAAGTATTTATTATTCTTCTGTAGAATTCATCTACCTGTTTCAATTAGTGTAGTAGAGTATTCATTCCGTTCAAATTTACTTGTCCATTATTGATTTGATACACCCCTTAACAACAAGGGTAATTAATACAACAAGAGACAGTTGATTGTACTCGCAAAGATAGATTCAGGAGTTATCTGTAACATCGTAACACAAAGAAATATGAAGCATTGCTTAAAGAAATAACAGAAAGAATGGCTGTAGAAATCATCAAGTTTCCACTGAAATTGAAGCGCTTAAACTTGTACTAACTTCATTTCATATACTAATATACTACTACATGTTCATCCCAAAAAATAACTACATACATCAGCAAAATATCTACAAAAAAGCAGCTTCATTTTGAGAGACATTTGAATACAGACGTCGTATTCAACTAAACCTCAGATCATAACTAGGTAGTTAACTATACCACAGTCAAAGACCTCTTTTGCAAATAAGAAGCACAAAAATTATTAGTCTAGTGAAGACATATGGTAGAAAATGTAGAATGGTAATTCATCAGATCAGCTACTCCCTAGTGGCTTTTCTCTGATTCTTCCAAGCCTCATTATCCATGGCATGGCAATGGGCTGAAACCCCAGTCCAGTTTTTGCAAGGAGCAGCCACATCACAGACATAGCAATAACACTGCATCAATACCCAAAGCCACACAATATAATTTATCTAATAACATCAAAAAATTGACACAATTAATAAATAAAAAATCGAACAAATATTACCAGTTCACAGTAATTCTCGTGAGGTGTTTTGTCAAACGGATGTTTCACACAAACATGCCTTGAATGCGGGTAATCTCTACATGCCACCTATTCATCATCAAGATCAATTTCTTATTAAATTGCAGAATTATAGCCATTTAACAGTAAAAGGTTCAAACCCATTTTGCAAAATACTAGAAATTAACTATACCTGGCCTTTTTCAGCGATAACCGAGAGGTCAGAAGCATCAAGATTCTTAGAAACAGAGAGCTTTGAAATATCGACGGGGTCATAAGGATCAAAATCAAGGATAAAGCAATCCTCTTTCTCTTCAAATTCCTTCAATTGCTCTCTCTTTTTGAGGCAAAATACAGGCCTTAATGCCGTTCCCTGCTCAGAAGGGGGTGAAGAAGATAAATCAATTATCAATGGGGAAATACAATCCGAATTTCCGAGTTTTTTGACCATTTTTTCAGAATATAAAGTAAATGCTAATAGAAGATAAAACTTTCTACCATCAAACCCTAGAACAACGAGAGCGTTTCTGTACTCTAATGGGGAAGTGGTGGTTCAAATTTCGAATTATGGGGAAGAGGAGTAGCCGTTCTGTGACATTTCAATTCTCCCCACAGTGGGCTTTGTATAGGCTAAACGTTAAACAAGGGGCTAATGGGCCTGGTTCCAATCCGATACTGAATATCTAGAAAAATGGGTATTATCACTTCTTGCACGCGCCATAAACTATTTATATTTAGTAACTGAAAAAGTATATAAAATTTATAAAATTTTAGTATATAATATACAGAATATATATATATATATATATATATATATATATATATATATACAAAATATATTTTTTTGGCTATTATTTTGAGAGCTGATATACAATATTATTTTCCCAAAAATAAAAAATAGCTAGATTTACAACTGGTAATTGAAAAATAGCCATAATTTCAAAAATAATCAAAAGTTAGCCATTTTTTTATGTAAAGATAAAATTTGAACAAAAATACCCTTAAAATTTTGAAAATATTCCAGCATAATATGATGTAGTTCGAATTTTTTACATGAGTTTCCAACATAATGTGTTGGAATTTCATAATGTGCTGGAGTTTCGACATAATATGTGGGAAGTTTATATGCAAGAGATCATAATGAAACTTTCCACGTGCTGGAGTCCCAACATAATATGCTAGAAGCTCATACGCATGAGCTCCATAATCCCGCATAATATGCTGGAAAAATAGTGGCTATTTTTCAATGACTTTGCAAATGCTGACTATTTTTCAATTATCAGTCCGAAAACTAGCTAGCCCGTGCTATTTTTACCTGAATATCTTCTGACATGCATATATATGCTAAAACATTTTAATTTAAACATTGATTATTAATACTCTTTTTATCCCATGTAATTATTTTATGTCACAATTTAGGTAATATTTGGAGCTGTAAAGTGGGAATATGTTACAGAGACTAATCCACTCAAAGGTTTATATAAGTTAACCCTTGAGAAATTATTGACTTGGTAGTATGATGAAATGAAAATATAATTTCTTCACATTTTCTCACGACTCACGTTCCTATTCAGAAATTCTTAAAGTGATAATGCGGTGATGTTATCTATGTAATTTCGGTTAATACCATAAATTTAATGCTGATTTGGAAGCGTAAACTAGACCAAGTTTGTTAAATTCTGACCGAGTTAGTGCGACAAAGCTGATTAACTTTGATTAGTTCTTTAATTTTGTTTGCTTATTCGTTAGCGTAAATTGAACCAAGGTTGCCAATTTTCTAAACTAGTTGTCACACCTGTTTTTGAGGCTTAAGGCTTACATTAAGAGTCTGTTTGGACAGCCACCCTGTAATTGGAATTGGTGTATAGGGTAGTAATTACACAGCCTAGTAATTACACAGTTGTGTAATTACGACGACCTGTTTGTTTGTCATAGTGTAATTACAAGTTTACTGTTTGGTTGCACAAGTGTAATTACACAATTAGATTAAATTTTAAATTAAGCAATATCAAAACTTAAAAGTTAATATAATAAATATATGCCTATAAATGTTTATAAAAAAAGGATATTATATTTTGCATTTAAGTGTATATTTTTCGTGAATATACATTAATTTAGTAATCATATATTTATAACTAATATTGTAAAAATAATTTATATATATTTTTTAAATTAATAATATGTAGTTTAGATACTTACAAAAATAAAAAATATATGTTTTGTAAGAGTATCATGGAATTCATGTTTGATAAATAAATTAATATTTACAAATATAATATCATAACATTATTCAAATGTTTGACAAAACTAATCTATCAAATCTAACTAAAAAATGAACAACATGCAATGTGAGCCAATACTACTAAAACAAGTAAATTTGAACCATAAATATAACACAATTTCAAAATTCAAAAAAGATAAAATAGTTTAACATATGTCAAATTCCAACATAGTAATAGTAAGTTCCAATACAACTTAATAATAGGAAACATGATAAGTTTATAGCCACATTCAACAACGAAATTCCACTTTAATTGCATCACTCATTATATGCCAAGTTTGTCAATGACTTATTATTTCTAATATTAGGAGGTGTAGTTTAAAAAAATAGAATAATAAAATAAATAAAAAATAAAATACAGTAAGCAATTACATGGAATCACGAGAAGTAAAGATATAGAAATAAAAGATAAATAATGTACAAAGAAAAATATATTTTAAATTTTCAAAAGAAATTAAAAAGTAAAAATAAAATTAAAAATTAAAATAATAGAAATAAAAAGTTATAAGGAAAATAAATTAAAATAAAAACAAAAAGGAAAGAAACTAAAAACAACCTTGTAATTACGCAGTGTAATTACCACCAATTCTCACTTCTCCCTTGAGAATTGAAGAGTGTAATTACACCCCTCCAATTACACCCAATTCTATGCTGACCAAGTAATTACTTGGTCAAACAAACATGCCAAACTGTGTGATGACATTCAATTACACCCAAGTTCATTTTCAAGGTGACTTTCCAAACAAGCTCTAAGAGCTTGCTTATAAATATCTGTTGTAAATGCTTCTTCTTTTCCCCCATCACATATATATATATATATATATATAATATATATATATATATAATATAATATATATATATATATATATATATATAAATGAAATGGGAATGGAAAAGATGACTTGGCACCTCTCAATAGCCAAGGATTCTATTTATCTTTTCTCCTTTTTTTTTTTTTGCCTTTTTCTCTTACCTTTCCCCCCTTTACTTATCTATTCTTCACACTTTTAAAAGACTTATCCATTATAATTAATTAGTTAATAGGCACCTTCATAACAATTTATTTTTCGCTTTTCCATTCTTATTTAATACTGATTCAATTTCATTTGGTTAGTAGACGTTACTCTTTCTATTCCTATTACCCAATATAAGTTAGGGATTTTTTCTTATATATACCATATATGAAACCTTATTACCAAAAATGTGCATAGTACCCGCCTAGTCCACATTTTTCCTACAATTTCTATACCATTTGTTTAATACATGATTAGTTGGGCAGAATCTTCCATAATTAACGCGCTAAAAATCAGGAAAAAATCTTGCGATTGATTGAGTCTGCATTAAAATTCTGCCTTAATCACCTGCGAAAAATCAGGAAGCCATTGTGGAAGTAATATTCTTCCAGATATTTTCCACCATTGATAGCCATTAAAAAAGCTTGAAAGCTTTGAATTCAAATTTGGTTTTCAAAAAATCATTATTTGTTTGGATTGGGTGTTGTTGAAAATAATCGGGAAACTGGTTTGGATTTTATATCTCAATTTTTGAGGGTTTTGGTGAAGATTAGACTTGGTTTGACTGAATTTCAGATTGAAACTCGAAAGAAGAAGAAGACATATTGCAGAAATTGTAGATAAATTGTAGATAAATTGTAGATTATTTTGTATTCTGATTGTAGATGCTTTATTTTCTTTTTCACAAAAATAAAAAAAAACGGCTAAAAACTTCTACAAATCTTTGACAATTAACGCAATTATGTCAAAAAATCACAATTTATGCTACAATTGGATGGGAATTGATATAAAAATTAATTTCATACCCAGTTTGTAGATATTTTGTAGATAAATTATAGATTATTTGTATTCTAATTGTAGGTGCTTTGTTTTCTGTTTTCACACATAAAAAACGACTAAAACTTCTACAAATCTTCTGCAAAAAACGCAATTATATCGAAAATGTCAATTATGCTACAATTGAAATGGGAATTGGATATTAAAAATTGAATATCCAGTTTGGATATTTTGTAGATAAATTGTAGATTATTTGTATTCCGATTGTAGATGCATTGTTTTCTGTTTTCACAAATCCAAAACGACTAAAACTTCTACAAAATCTTCTGCAAAAAACAGTCTACAATTTATCTATAAATCTTCTACAATTTATCTACAATTGCTGCAATATAATGTATGTCATGTCTTCTTCTTCTTCTTCTTCTTCTTCTTCTTCTTCTTCTTCTTCTTCTTCTTCGAGTTTCAATCTGAAATTCATTGGTAGTTATTTGTTCAGCTACTGAAAGTGACATTGCATCCGGATGTCGAAATTCGTATTGGAGGACACCACATCTTTTTTGTTCTCCTAATTCCAAGTTCGAACCATATTAGACATGACATAGCCAACCATACAAGGAAATGGAATGCCAATGGCACATCTACGTTTGTGTCAATTACCGCTCTACTTGAGAAGCTTCGAAAGGAAAAGGATGGAATTAAGTTGAAGGAAGGGTCTGGTAGTCCAGATGATTTAAAGGAGAGGGACATAGTTGACGAAGAACGGAATAAGGGTGGGGCCCTAAAAAATTCTCCAAGTAGAGCAGGTCTCAGGAATTAGGGGGATAGAAAAACGTGGGATATATGAACACCTTTAATTAAGGAGTAAAAACTGCCCATTAATTAGACCCTTAATTAAGTATAGTATAGGATTGATAATTTGGTATACTAAGTGTAATTAAATCAAACCTTAAACATTAAGGGTAATAAGATTTCCTATGTGGCATAGGAATGTAAAAATCCCTATAAGTTACAGTTGTATCAGCTACTATAAATATTGAAGCCCATCTTTTCCTTTGGATAACTTTCGTATTTTTTTTTTCGTTAATCATTCTTCTGCTTTTCATCCGAAATCTTCTGGCAACTCTTTGTACAGAAAGACTTACTCTGCTTCTCTTTTTTTTTTTGGGCCTTTTTTTTACCCATTGTTGATGCTTTTGCCACAGTTATTAATTTGTATAATATTTTAGTTCTTTTTTTTATTGGTTAGAGAATAGGGAAAAGAACATATGACGTTATTTGTGGGAAGTATTTGGTGGTACAAATTCAAACTTCATGAGTACGCTATTATTAATGATGTATGCATATTTTGCTATTTTTTAGTTTGTTGCAGACTTGTAGTTGTAGTGTGAATTCAAATTACATAACTTTGCCTTTTTTGTTGGAATAAAATGCCTTATTTTGGATTATATGAATGATTATACTAAATTGACATTGGATTTTGATTATTTTTTAATTGCTTGCAAAAATATAAAAATAGAATTATGATTAC